TCTCAGCCTTTCCAGTTATTCCTTCTGTCCGTAACACCCATGTTTGTTGCCTGCCTGTGTCTGTAGATACATGGTTGTGACAATACTATGGCTTTAAGGGGTATATGTTGTCCTTTTTTTTTTAAAGAGAAAGGTTTTAAGATGTACATGTTGAGATGTTTATTGAAAACTCATGAAGTAAACAGCTTGTGAGGCCTTGGTTTTTTTTTGAAAGGTAGAACAATAGAAGTAGCATGAATGGGTGTGGTCAAGCTCCTGCAGAACCAGGATTCTTAGTTTCTGAGTTTTTTGAGCAGCAGTTGTTGTTGGGTCTGTTGCTACAGTAATCTCTCCCTGATGTACTTTCTCAGAGTTCTCTTGATGCTTTTTGTCTTAGGCTGTCAGTGTTGCACATGAAACAATCTTTGTTCTGAATTTGCCTTTTGCCAAGCGTGTGTTTATGGGATATTGTTATATTGGAACAGTTGCTGTTTAGTAGCTAACTAGTCTATTATTTTGTTAAGTTTTCCACTAGAGTTAAAGCTAAGCCAATGCATTTCTTTTATTCTTTATTTTGTTGTATTTTAACTAGAAGATATGAATATAGTGTGTTTTACTTCAAATCTGGTAGTTTGACTAATCGAATTGCATCTGGAATGCAGCACCTTACACTTCCCTTTTAAATAATCAAAAGTTAGGGTCTAGATTATCTTACGAATATCTTGACGGTGTTTGGTCTGGTCCATAACATTGGGGAGTTTGCAAAGGAATCAGAGTTTTAATTTGTAGTGGTATATGGTAATGGTTCATAAATGTTTATCTGTAGCTACTGTTTACTTATTGTAATAAATATTAATTTTGGTTAACTACAAAAACTTGGTCCATGTCTTCAAACATCATAGGTGTGCAAGCAAGATAAATTGTGGAACTTTTGCATTCTTTTAAAAATCTTAACTTTAACTTTGTGATAACGCCAGGAATAGCAGACATGATTTCCAGCACATTCCCCCAATGTAGTATAATACTCCAAACAATAATTACCATAACAACTTGCATTTATATAACCTTTCTATGCAGAAAATTATCACAAGGCAATTGACAAAAAGTGCTTAGTGAATCGAGTAAAGATTGGATAAGGGAAGGAAAAATACAGAATCTTTGAAAGAAGATTTATTTAGAGAGGAAGCTTTCAGAGACTGGAATTTTGTTTCAGGGCTGGTGGGACTGGAGTTATACACCACATCTTAGGAAGGGTATATTGACCTTGAAAGGAGTACAACATAGGTTTACAAGAATGATAACTGGACTTTAGGGGCTAAGTTATAAGGAGACAGTATACAAATTAGAACAGTATTCTCCAGAATTTAGAAGGTTAAGAGGTGATCTGATCGAAGTCTTCTAGTTATTAACAGAAAAAAACAGGGTGGATGAAGATAAACCATTTCCACTGGTTGGGGATTCTAGAACTAGGGGGCATTATTTGAGAATTAGGGACAGACCGTTCAGAAGAGACATTAGGAAGTACTCTGACAGACAAAGGGTGGTAGAGGTTTGGAATTTCTCTTCTACAAATGACAGTGGATGTAGGATCAGTTGTTAATTTTAAATCTGACATAGATAATTTTGTTAAGCAAATGTTTTGAGGGATACAGGCCAAAAACAGTTATATGGAGTAAGGCAACAGATTAACCATGGTATCACTGAAGGATTGAATGGTCTACTTCTATTCCTATGTACTGAATTGAATTGCCATTATCAAATGCTCAAATCTATGGAGTGGGACTGAACCTATGAACTTCTGATTCAGACATATTTGGTTAAGCCAGAAGATAAGTTGGGCCAGCTTGCAAAATATTTAAGCAGACAAGGGTGAACATCTAGAATACAATACACTTAGATTTAGCAGATAAGACAGAAATACTGAGGATTCTTTGCTAAGTTCACCAACCAAGGGGACTCAGCAAAGATGGATTGAAAGCAGGAATGGTAACATAGAAAAATGGGAATACTTGGTAAGTGGGCTGGCTGGGTGGCTGGATGCACTGAGATGGATAAGGAAGTTGGCAGCTATACCAAAAATATCCCAAACTATACAAATAGAAATCATAAGGATATTAACACTATTTGTTTACAATGGGCTTTAATGAGTTACTAATTTATACAATATCTTTGAGCAACTTACTTTTTGTTGTGACTGAAAGGATAAAATTGTGTTTTATTTTACAGAATCCATTAGTTTATGGTGGTTAAGTGCATTAAACTTTGTTTTTATTTCATAAGAGTTAAGAATTATATTTCAGATTATATTTTAGAATTTAATCATTTCTGGGAAAACTGGAAATCAGTGACTCTACCTTTAATCTTTTCAATCACAATATATCTTGTTTATCTGATTTGCCATACTTGCCTTCATTGGTCAGAACACTGAGTACAGGAGTTGGGATGTTATGTTGCGGGTGTACAGGACATTGGTGAGGCCACTTCTGGAATACTGCGTACAATTCTGGTCACCCTTCTATAGGAAGGATGTTGTTAAATTTGAGAGGGTGCAAAAAAGATTTACAAAGATGTTGCCGGGACTGGAGGGTGTGAGATATAGGGAGAGGCTTAATAGGCTGGGGCTATTTTCCCTCAAGCGCCGGAGGCCGACGGGTGACCTTATAGAGGTTTATAAAATCATGAGGGGCATAGATAGGGTGAACAGCCAAGGTCTTTTTTCTAAGGTGGGGGAGTCCAAAAGTAGACAGCATAGATTGATAAGGTGAAAGGGGAAAGATTTAACCAGGATCCAAGGGGTAACTTTTTCACGCAGAGGGCAATGCATGTATGTAATGAGCAGCCACAGAAAATGATGGAGGCGGGTACAATTACAACACTTAAAAGGTGTCTGAATGGGTGTATGACTAGAAAGGGTTCAATGGGATATGGGCCAAATACTGGCAATGGGATTAGCTCAGATGGGCAGCACGGTGGCTCAGTGGTTAGCACTGCTGCCTCAGAGCGCCAGGGACCCAGGTTCGATTTCAGCTTCGGGTGACTGTCTGTATGGAGTTTGCACATTCTCCCCGTCTCTGTGTGGGTTTCCTTTGGGCGCTCCGGTTTCCTCCCACAGTCCAAAGATGTGCAGGCTAGGTGGATTGGCCATGCTAAATTGCCCATACTGTCTAGGGATGTTTAGGTTAGCTGGATTAGACACAGGAAATTAGGGGAATGAGTCTGGGTGGGATGTTCTTCAGAGGACAGTGTGGACTTGTTGGGCCGAATGGCCTGTTTCCACACTGTGGGGATTCTGTGATTCTGAGATTTGGATATCTGGTTGGTGCGGATGAATTGGATCGAAGGGTTTGTTTCTGTTCTGTATGACTCTATAACTCTAGTTTAAAAAATCATATTTCAACTCAGTATAGGAATGTTCTTGGAAAAATGCAGGAAGAGGAATAGGGAAACCCAGTTATACTGGTACTGTTTATGGACTTATACTGCAGGATGAGATGGATAAATGAACAGATTTGCTCCTCCACACTTCTGCTTTTATTGCGCTTTAATATTTAATGCTTCATGAAAAAGAAGCTCAAACAAACCATAACAAATGGCAGCAAAGTGTAAAGAGTGAAACAAGTGCGAGTGTTTCGATGCATTACAACGGTAACTGCAAAGGGCTGACACTCGCAAATTTTAATGATCTCAAACATAAATGTAACAAAGCACTTTGTGACTGCCTTTCAATCTGTCTCTGAAAGAAGCAAAGTGAGAATGACGTCTTAAACACAGAGAGGATGTCAAAATCAATAATTACCCTCAAAAGAAATGAAAACATTACCTGGTATAGTAGGAGTCAACACCGAGAGCTTCTCGAACATTGGTCACATACTGTTCGAGGGTAGAGAAACTGGAAGCCTGCATGTTGATGCTGCTTGTTTCATTCAAATCATTGTTTTCTGCCAGGCCATCACCCAAATAGCATTCATGAAACTTTAATATTCCTGCAAGAGGAGATAGGAAGACAAGTGCAGCATTACTCTGGGGATCAGAAAGCTGCTATCAATAATTACAGTGGCGTGCAGTCCCAGACTCCTTCAGTTAAATTTTTGAGGATGTGCACCAATATCAAGGAAAACCTGAAAACGTTTTGGTTACATCTACAATTTTATTTTAGATAAGAGGCCATACTGATGTTTTTTCAAAATCTGAATGAATGACATTATTTCACCCACAGTGACCTGCTCAAAGAGTTCTATACGTGTCAAGACACGTATAGAAGAACCAAATCACACTATATTGTCTCCTTCAAAACAAGTACCTCATCATCAAACTATTTCCAAAACAGGAATGTTGGAATCAGAACCTGTCCCTTGTATCAAATCAAAACATTAGGAAGTGGTCTCTTTTAATAAGGTTGTCCATTTAGCATTAATTGCCCCAAACTTCCATGCAGCATTTTTCAATTTGCCCACATCCCTGATAACAAGGCAAGCTGTTTCATTTGGTTTTAAACTGAACTATCCAGTTCAGATAGCAATTGGTTTTGTGAATTATTGAGAACTGGGCAGAAAAAGCTGATTCTCCTACAAGGAGCATGATCAATTACTGGAGGTCAACCAAATCAGTGCTTCGGTGATGATTATGGAGGAGACAGTAGCTTAGCAGCAATGCCAATGGACCGATAATCTAGAAGCACAGATTAATGGTCTGGGACCACAGGTTCAAATGCCATGACAGCTGATGAATTCAATAAAGAAAATCAGGAAATGAAAGTTTGATTCAGTGATGGACGCCATGAAACTATCTTTGATTGTCGTAAAAACCTGCCCTCTGGTTCATCAATGCTCTTTACGGAAGGAAATCTGCTGTCTTTATCTAGATTGGTCCACCTGCGACTCCAGATCCACAGAAATGTGTTGGACTCTTAAGTGATCTTTGAATGTCAAGCCACTCAGGACCAGGCTCATCTTCTGGGGACCTTGAAACCCACTATGGCCGATGGTGAAATTAAAAGCTAGTGTACTGATGGCCAAATAATCATTACCAATTGTAACAACAAAAAATATCTGGTTCACACATGTCTTTTAGGGTAAGAAGTCTGTTGTTTTCAACCTGGACTGGTCCACATTAAACTCCAGACCCTCAGCAATGTAGTTAATTCTTAAATGACCTCTGAAATGACCCAGCAAGCCACTTAGTCATATCAAATTTGTTATGGACCAGACCTCTTCAAAATTTTAAGGTAGCCTAAACCCCAGCTTTTTATTATTTTAAAAGGAAATGTAAAGTGTCATGTTCCAGATGCAATGTAACTAGTCAATCTATTCAACGTTAAGCAAAGCGCAATTTATTTAAACACTGTAGTTTGAATACAATGAAAGAAAGAGGAATTTAGAATAACAACTCGAGTGGAAAACCTAACCAAATAATAGATACAGTAACTATTACTAATTAACTGTTCCAATATAGTAAAATTCCATAAACACACCCCTTGGCAAAAAGGCAAATTCAGAAAAATACATTTGTCTCACTGGTAACCCAGCAGCAGAGAAAAACCCCAGCTTCTAGCTGTAACAAAGAGAGGGAAAAGATAGCTTTGATTTCTTCAAGCCCACAACAGCAAATGCTTAAACCTGAACCTAAAAAATAAGCCCAGTCTGAGAGACAACAAGGTGCAGGGCTGGATGAACACAGCGGGCCAAGCAGCATCATAGGAGCAGAAAGGCTGATGTTTCGGGCCTAGACCCTTCATCAGAAAAGGGGGAGGGGAAGGAGGTCCTGAAATAAATAGGGAGAGAGTGGGAGGCGGATAGAAGATGGATAGAGGAGAGGATAGGTGGAGAGGAAACAAACAGGTCGAAGTGGTGGTGATGGAGCCAGTTCAGAAATGGGGGAGGGGAAGGGGGTTCTGAAATAAATAGGGAGAGAGTGGGAGGCGGATAGAAGATGGATAGAGGAGAGGATAGGTGGAGAGGAAACAAACAGGTCGAAGAGGTGGGGATGGAGCCAGTCATCTGCAGTTCCTACTATCTCTGATTCAATCCTCTCCCAGTCTGAGAGAGCTGGCCACACCCAACCAGGCTGCTTCCATTGTTCCAACTTTAAAAACCATAAGGCCTCACAAGCTGTTTAGTTTCTTACGGATAGCTCACGACCTCTCGTTCAATCTCTCTTCAAAGGAAACAGGACAAAATAACCTCTTAAAGCAAAAGCATTGTCACACATCATCTAAAGAAATGAATGAAACCGGAAGGAACACCTGACATCGACCTAGACACCAGATGCATCACCTGTGGACCCTGCCAAATGCTTCTTAGCAAAATTTGGGGGCTTCTGCCAAAATTGGGACAGTTGTCCCACAGATTAATCAAGCAAAAGCCTGTCACTGTCATGCCCACAGAATCATGGCTAACAGACAATTTCCCAGGCACCACCATCACAATCACTCGATATGTCCTGTCCCGCTGGCAGGCCAGACACATCAAAGTTGGCAGCACAGTGGCACAATCGGAAAGGAGTTGTCCTGTGAATTCTGACTACTGACTCTAGATCCATGACGTCTCATGGCACCAGGCCAAACAAGAAAACGTACTGCTGATCTCCACTTATCAAACTCCTTTCAGGTGAGGAAGCAGTACTCCTTCATGTTGAATACCACTTGGAAGAAGCAGCGGCAAATGCACAGAATGTTCTCTGGGTGGAGGACTTCAACACCAATCACCAAAAGTTGCTCAGTAGCATCATTACTGACTAAGCTTACTAAGTCCTCAAGGACACAACTGTTCAACTGGGTCTGTGGCAGGTGACGAGGTAACCAACTTCATTGAAAAATCTTACTTGATCTTGTTCTCACCAATCTACCTGTCGCAGATATGACAGTTCTGTGACCACCACACAGTCCTGTCTTCACTCAGAGTATGCCTTTCTTTGTGCTTTATGACCTTATCATAGAATCATACAAAACAGAAGAGGCCCTTTGGCCCGTCAAGTCTGTATTACTATTTTCCCTCCCAGTCCCATTTTCCCACACTAGTCCATAGCCTTGAATATTATGACACCTCAAGTGCTCATTCAAGTATTTAAAGGTTGTGAGGTTTCCCAGCTCAGCAATTCTCCCATTGCAATGCATCCCAACCCACCACCACCTTCTGAGTGAAATAGTTTTTCCACCGTGCTCAACAGGATAGGCTTCGAATAGATATAAAAACTTAAAACTAGGCGTTTGTGATACATCGTGTGCTACTAGTCACAAAGCAAATTTCTATTTAATTACCATCTGTCACCTCATAGCCTGACATATCACTCACACTAACCATCCACAATCAAGCTGAGTGATCAAATCTGGTTCTCTGAAGATTGCAGGTGAACACGTCAGAAGCAACACTAGGCACACAAAAATTGTTAATGTATGATTACAACACAGAATTACTTGCATGCCGAACAGCAGAAGTAGCATATAATGGTAATGTGAATTCCATGACCAATGGATCAGTACTAGATCCTACAGACCTGCCACATCCAGCTATGAATGGGAGCAAACATCTAACAGGAGGAGGGGGTTCCAGAAATATACTCATTCTTAACAACAGGAGAACCCAGATCATCAGAGCAAATGAAAAGGCCGAAGATTTGTATCCATCATCAGCCAGAAGTGCCAAATGGATGATCCATCTCAACACCCTACTGAGGTCCCAGCATCCAAGATGCTTGTTCAATCAATTCAATTTATTCCAAATGACATCAAAAAATTGCTGAAGGCACTGGATCCTGGAAAAGCTACAAGTTCTGACAATATACACGAGAATTGTGCTACAGAACTCTTCATGAACTCTTCTTGCTTACAGCGGCCGGAGAGGTGAGACCCCGAGCCAGGGGGCAGTCAGGAAGGCAAGGTTTTCCTGATAAAAGCTTGCCTCGTGAGTCAGCAGCCTTCTTGCTTACAGCAGTGGGAGAGGTGAGAGCGCGAGCTGGCAAGTGAACTATTATATTCAGGCATTGGCTAAACCCAAAACACTACACGTGTAGTGTCTCCCACCCATCCTCCTCCTCTAACCAAAAAAAAAGACTTTGGGAGGGTCAGAAAGGTAAGGTTTTTTTATTCTCTTGGCAATCGAGAGTAGAGGGAATGGAAGCTAGGGCAGTTGCATGCTCCTCTTGTAGGATGTGGAAGGTACGGGTCACTACTAGTTTCCCTTCTGACTTCACCTGCGAGAAGTGCACCCAACTCCAGCTCCTCATAAACCGTGTTAGGGAACTGGAGCTGGAGCTGGATGAACTCTGGATCATTTGGGAGGCTGAGGGGGTGATAGATAGGAGTGATAGAGAGGTTGTCACACCCAAGTTACAGGATAAAGGTAGCTGGGTGACCGTCAAGAGGGGGAAAGGGAATAGGCAGACAGTGCAGGGATCCCCTGTGGCCGTTGCCCTCAATAATAAGTATACCGCTTTGGATACTGTTGGGGAGGAGGACCTACCGGGGAAAGACATAGCGGACTGGTCTCTGGCACGGAGCCTGGCTCCGTGGCTCAGAAGGGAAGGGGGGAGAATAAAAGAGCAATAGTGATAGGAGATTCAATGGTTAGGGGAACAGACAGGAGATTCTGTGGTACCGAGCGAGACTCTTGGATGGTACGTTGCCTCCTGGGTGCCAGGGTCAGGGATGTCTCAGATCGGGTCTTCAGGATACTTAAAGGGGAGGGAGAGCAGCCAGAAGTCGTGGTACACAATCGGTGCCAATGACATAGGTAGGAAACGGGATGAGGACCTGAAAAGTGCATATAGGGAGTTAGGATGGAAGCTGAAAGCCAGGACGAGCAGAGTAGTAATTTCAGGATTACTACTGGCGCCATGGTCTAGTGAGGCTAGAAACAGAGAGCGAGTGCAGCTGAACATGTGGCTATAGCGCTGGTGCAGGAGGGAGGGCTTCAGATATGTGGATCATTGGGATACCTTCTGGGGAAGGTGGGACCTGTACAGGAAGGACGGGTTGCACGTTAACT